ATCTAAACAGGAAGTATGGACGCCGGTGGGAATCATTTTCACTCCAGAGACGTTTGTTTCCCTTCAAAAATAACGAGGAAAAATTCACGTGTCCTCATGTTTACTAAATATTCTCATGTTGGCTGAATGCGTTGCCTCAAATTGGGAGGCTCCATAATGCAATAATAAACAGCTGTGACAGGGAACTGATCTATGTGTGATTTCAGAAGAAATTGAATCTTGTAGAGTAAGGCACTCAGAAACAAATCTGCATTTAAGCAAAAAGATTTGATTTGAAAGCAGATTTCACCAAATATTTCATTAGAGCGTCACCAAACCGTTTATTTTATTCGTCATTATGGAAGAGGATCGTATCCCCTACTCCAGCGTCTCTCTGCCATACAGACTGAAACCTCTGGAGAATATATTACTGTGAAGGCTGAATAGTGCGGCAGGAGGAGGGAAAAACACTTGAAGCAGGAAGACCTTCCGGTCAGTGTGACAGCAGGCGGCTGTGTGGGAGCCGTCAGCGCTCTGCTCTGAGCAGTTACTGCAGAGTGCTGGGAGCTAAATTTGATACAAAAAAGTTGCTTTGCAATTAGTTGAGTTTCTACAGATTTAAACCTGAAGTCTGACATTGTTTTTTTTTTTTTTACCCCCCAGCTGCTCAGGAAGAGGAGGAGCTCTGTGGCTGCAGGGAAACTTTCAACCAGTAATTATCTGGCAGATAGAAAGCTGCTCCTTTCTGCTTCACCTTTTTTTTTTAAATTAGTTTTGTTTTCATTTTCTCTCCTTGAGCCGCTTATTCCTCTGAAGCGGTAACACGCTGTACTTTGGGGGAGGTTTCCTTTAAAACAACCAGAAATGAGCGACGTTCAGCTTTGCTGGTTTTGGCGAGAGCAAGACTGAGGAGGACAGAGTCATAGATCTTTAATCTGGACCTTAGAGGAACACAAGTGGATATTTAAACTCACATTTAGAACTCCAGATAAAGCTGTGAATGCCTCCAACATGACCAGAGGAGACTTTTGAAGGAACGTTTGTTTGGTCAAGGAAAATGCCTGCGATGCTATCGTTGACCCATAATGATGTAGAGCTGGGTTGTAATTAGATTTTGTGATTTTTCACTCATAATCCACACAGCATGGGGAGTAGGGTGAACTTCCAAAAATATGAATCATAAAACACTGAGATATTTTATGGATCATCTTTATTTTGTTAAAAAAAAACTCCAAAATCCCCTCTTTGTTCTGGTCTTTGAATGCATCATACTTCAGAGCCAATGGGTCCTGCTAAAATGAAAAGGTTTTGGTGTGGAAGCTGTTACTGAAGGAAGTAGACTGTTATATATTATTGACTTTCTGAGCTTTCCATCATGCTGTAACCTTCTCTCATCAGAAACATGCCTGGAGTGTCGCCTTGATTTTGTCATTCATGTTTGGCGAATCCTTTAATCTCCCGTGGCAACCGTTCTGGGATGCATAAACGCTTGGTCTCATCAAGGTCCACTCGGTTCCCCTAGACTAGCGGCACCACCAACTGTCAAACGCCTGGGAACGTTTGCAAACAGCATAATGGAGAAACCTTGTTTTGATGACTTAATGGAGGCGGAGTGTGGGAAAGAGCTGGAGCTTCTTAAAGAGACAGAGGCCCAATTTCAAGGTGTCAAACTGCAACGTCAAATTTGGTTTATGTTTTATAGCATTTTTATAACAACTGATAATGAAAATCAGTTGTTATAGCACAATTGCCTGTGCTATAAAATAGCACTGCTGGTTGTTTCCTCTGCTCTTCCTGGAGGGAAGGTCACCGTTGTCCCTGGAATCACTTCCTGCGGTTCCTCACAGCCGCTACTGAACATTCCCAGGAGAAACTTGATGTAGCCGAGTGCGGTTTCACACATACACACATTAGCTTTTAATCGTCACAGGAACTTTGCATTGGTTACCATTCAGGAAAAATGAATATATCAATAAATAAAGCCCATGCATGCAGTCATATATTGACATTATGGTCTAAAAATGCAGTCATTTTTCAGCGAACAGGTTGGATACATCAGTGTTTAATTCCAAGTGTACAGCTGAATGGTTTAGATCAGACAACAAACACAGACATTGCATTTAATAGATGCTGCTGTTTAACGAATTAACAGAAGGAAATCCTCAGATTGCGCCGTCGCTTCCCTTTGTGTATTTACAGAACGCAGCAGTGACCTGGCATGATCTGGACCTTTGCTTTGGTGCGTCCCAGACAAACACCGAGGGCCTGAGAGTCCGGCTGAAGAGCCGGAGATCTTAATACAACTTAGACGTTTTTACTGCAGAGCAGCTTTCTAGAATGGAGGCAGAAATGTTTTGCCTCTTCATCTGGGAAAGACATGGGTGAAGAACACTGGGGTCCATCCTCATCAAGCAACACTCCTCTGAACTTGAAGTTGTTGGTTTTTTTTTTTTTTTACCACTGTTGCCAGAAGAGCTCTAATGTTTGCTGAAGCAGGTCGCATTTATCCCGCCGAGACCGGCTGCAATAAAACAACTTTTAATCATGAACTCTTCGATTCCGTGCATGTCAAGTTGGGTATTCCGCCTGCTACAGTTTCAGAAATCCCTCGGCTTACAGAATAACTTAAAGAGAGTTACAGAGAGACTTATGACCAATAAAAAGCAAAAAGACTCGACTGAGCATGTGTCCATTACCAGAATCAGGTTTTAAAACCACTAAAGTTTTCCATTAAGATGTTCTTTTAGATCAAAGATTCCAGAGTAGTTCTAGAGTTGATTTTGTTTTGTTTTTTCTTGTTTTGTTTTTTCGGGCTGGATGGAAAACAGAGTAACACAGGACTGGCATTCCCCCAACTGATGCTGCGCACTGCTGGTCAGCTGGTTCAGTCAGTCGACATGGACACTGACTGAACTAAAACAGCGTCACTTCTCAATCTTAAGCCTTTTTGAAATAGGAATTGCTGTTCAGATATTTCATTCCAGAAATATCTGAGCCTCAACATAGAACTGATATGTTAAGTTACCATGTAACTCCATGCACTGTATTAGCTGAAAGGTTTGACTACATCAAGAACTCAGTGGACTGACGTCTTCTGGCTCCTCCAAAGAGGAGACTCACCGCCCTGCTGATTTCTTCAGTGTCAATCAGTCATAGAACATGGAGATCCCACTATAATTTAACCACATGTCAATCATTTCACAGTCAGAAATTGTCTCAATTATTTCCATGAGTCACTGGGCCCCAGCAGGACTCGTCCCTAGCTGCTGATCTTGGTCAGCATCTTGTTGATGGCTTGCTTGACGTGCGTGGTGGAGCTGCGGCGGCGGGCCTTGCCCTGCACGGCTTTGCGGCGCCTCACCTCCCTGCACAGCTCGTGGAACGCCTCGGCCACCACGCCGCCCTCGTCGGCGCAGGCCGAACACTCGTAGAAGGCGCAGGCCATTTCAGCCGCCAGCCGCTCGCCTTCCTCTGTGGGGACCTGGCGGACGTGGTCCAGGTCAGACTTGTTCCCCACCAGCACCAGAGGGACGTTCTTTGGTTTCTTCACCTCCTCCAGGAGCGTTCGAAGAGGGGCCACCTCCTCGAAGCTTCCCCGATCTGTGATGTCATAGACGACGATGAATCCGTCACCCCAGCGCATGTGGCCTTCCTTCTGCTGGATGTCCTCCTGTGAAGGAAAAAGACATTACTGGCAGTCCGAGCAAGACAAGACAATTTACCACGAAATCAAATTTGACCAAAGTATCCAACAATTACGGTGTCAGTTCAGGTGTCTTTTAATTTCAGACACTGGCCTCCTGGACCCATCAGAGGTCTCACAGTTTGTCATTTGAAAATGTTGAATCAAAAATTCTTCAATACAAAGGAACTAGCTCCTTCTGCTAACGAGGCTGCTAGCCTAGCTAACTCGTAGCTAGAGCAACCATCAGCCATACCCATAAAGTTTCACAAATTATTAGATGTTTGTGTTTGTATCACTTCACTGTTGAATGCTAAACAATATTTGAAGCCCAATACAGCAACAAAAATATGATTTTATTCTCATAGCCACAGATGATAACATAATGTTAGATGTTGTAAAGTAGTAAAAAAAATGTAGGTGTTACAGAGAAGCAAGGAAAACAAAATCAAATAGCTGAGCTGAGCATGATTCTCCCTTTATTGGTTCTGTTTGCAGACACAAACAAAGCTCGCCCTGCAGCGCAGCTGACCAATGCGCAAAGCAGAGACGCGGTTTTTCTATTTTATGGACAAAATTTAACGGGTAAAATGAAACCCTGGTCAGTGCACAGCTGAGACAGATAACTTCTCTTGCTAACATAGCAGCTGGAGACAAATAAAACCTCAAAAACATTTGGGACGCACGCTTTCCGGAAACACGAACGTCAACAAAATACTGTCAGCTAGCGCACTGTTATAGGGCCTCCTCTTTGCAGTTCAGCCTGCTGGTAATGATGCACATCATCTTGGCAGCTTTTTTTTTTTTTTTTTTTTTTAAAAAGAAGCTTTTCTTTTTGTTTTGCTTTCAAGCAGAGTCCAGGCATAAGAAACTCACCCAGGCCCTAAATCTCCCCAGAAGCAATAAAAAGCTCTTGGGGCCCGGAGACACCACTTCGATTTCATGATCTCTCCCCCTCATCTCTTTCCAGGAAAGGCATTTCTTTCAGGAACCGAATCCAAGCACAATAAAACAGTTTATGAAACCCTTTTTGTTCGTAATCCTCAGGATGGAAACGGAGCTCTTTGGATAACTTCTTCATTAGAACAAGCCATTGTTGGAATCTGATAGTTTCGTTTAGATACAAACATAATAAACCCGTTTTCCTCTCCAGCACTTGAATCTGTGCCCAGTTGGAGACAGTATATCATATGGGTTAATTAATATTGATTAATTTTATGTAAGTATTTTCATTTTTGCATTATTTTCTCTATTTGCTGATTGACCACACACTGCTAGAAGCGATTGTCATAACTCAACCAAGTGCACTAATAATTCCGCCAAATTACTTAATGTAATTATTTAATTGAATATTTTACTTCTCTGGCAATAGAACATCTAGTGTGAAATGTTTTAAAAGTGAAAATTTGTCCCATAAAACCCTGTAAACGTTGGATGTGTTGCTCCGTCCGTCTGAATCCCAGCAGGTTTTACTGCTGGATTTTATCCTGCGTCACGTTTCTTTCCCATGAAAAAAGTTGTTCTTTTCACACGGATCTCGACATCCATGCGAGTCACACGTGTCATTAGTCAATATTCAGAAATGAAAACTGGAGGCACTTCACAGTTTGCTTTGCGTTTGTAATACTGTGGCATTAAAATCAGTTTCAACGAAGCCAAATTATCTCAAGCACAATCTGGCTTTCTTTTGTTTTGTTTGTTTTTGTGACGTGATTTTGACCTGTTTTCACTCCGGAACAAAAGCAATTCAGTTTCTGAAAACTCAACGGTCTGAACTCTGGGGGTGGCGGGGGGCTGACCTACAGGTGACCCTCAGACAGGGAACTAAATAAAATGAGTTTTATCACCGTTAGTTCATGATTAAACATGGAGGCCAATTATATTTCACACATGCATATGTGGGTTAAGATAGCTTAATTTATCTAGCGCTGAAAAAATTATTGAAACGACTTGAAAGATTTAAGTGAGATGCAAAAATAAACAAACAGGGAACAAATAGAAAAATGTAGCCAGAGTTTAACAAGCCAATATTTCAAAACCTTCTCATAAACTGAATTCTGCAGCCATTTCAGGAAAGCATCCGCTGCAGCTCCTGTAAGGAACACTTCATGCGCCTCATTCTCTTTTAAACCTGAGACTGCTGGTGTTTCTGGAGGAATCCTGCTCCACACTTTGCTCCAATCAGAGCCGAGGAGATTCCCGACATCCGGCGGCGTCTGGTCAGCGAACGGGCAGGCCTCGTCCTAACGCCCAACTGAAAATAACCGTCTCTCCGCAATGACGGAGAGATGACTGGGCCGGAGTGTCGCAGGGGAAAATCAGCCTCCAGCAGAACGCCCACGCAGCACTGCAGCATGTTTATCTTCTCCTGAGGACTTACGCGAGTTCTCCCTCACGGAGGGAGAGAGGCGACTCTCCTGCTGGGCTGCAGGAAATTACCATCCAGAAGGACCCTTCACTTTCAACACTCCTTCTAACGACTGTTGCTTCTCTCCAAGTAATGGTGCTCCACTGAGCATTTAAGGACACTTGGACTCATATTAGAGACATATGAGTGTGTGTCTAATATAAACAGTGAGACTCCATGTTCAGCTTAAAGCCAGATCAAGATAACTCATAGAAGTTCAGTAAAGACATGCAAATGTTGCAAAACCATGACTAAACAGAAGAGTTTGCAAGGAAGTTTAAATTATCATCACACTAATTAGCATAAGACTAAATGACTGACAACACTGGTCTGTGGCCAAACAACCAGTTTACAATGCAAAGCAGCAGTGAGGATCCGATCATCGTTGAGGCACCGCGACGACAACTGGTTTTCGGTCGTCGTGTTTCCATATAAGGCGACCGCAGGAAAAAGAAACCATTCGAATACAGTAATAAAATGAACGTGACGTTGACGCGGAATAAAAACATTCTGACCCGGCGGCCCAGGTTTCAGTCAGGCCAGCGAATGGTTTTGATTGGAGAGGACACTGGAGCAATTATCCAATCAGACGTCGTAATGGTCCCAGTTAATCAGACACGCGGGGTCAGATGTTCCTCAGTGTCAGATGACACAATGTTTTCTTTTCAAATAAATGCAGAACAATGTAGGTGAGCAAAACATGCAGAGTGAAACTGATCCTCAAATGACGTCACCCAGCCGTGCGTCTCAGAGCTCAGTTGATCATTTTTTATCCCACCTGGCCTGCAGTGTCCAGGATCTCCATGGTGACAACCTCGTCGTCAATGTTGGCTTGGTGACGATACGTAGATTCTGTAGGCCACAAAAAAAAAAAAAACAGGAAACACAATCAGATAGTTTTTTTTAGTTATATTTTCAGCTCTCCTTTAAAAATTTCAGTCCGGTTATGACTCATCTGTAGATGGTGACAAATCCCTACGTGGGAGGAGAACTCGTCCTGTTGCAGGTTGGTCCATTCAGAGAGGAGGAAATTATGATCACCACTGAAATGGAGGGAAAAATTCCTCCACAAGTACTTGTGTTGACAGATGACACGCAGCTATTCCCGTTTCTACAGTTTCCGCTTCTTTGTCACACTTAAAGGTTTCAGATCGTGGAATAAATGTCAAAATAAGACAAAGATCTGCTTCGGCATTAAAGGAATTCTGTGTTGGATGAAATGATCATTCATTCGATTTAGATTTGCGTTTGTAAAACCGTCTCCTCTGACCTCTGACATCAACAGGTTTACTAGTTTGAAGATATACTCCATGGTGCAGCTTATAAACGTATTCAAAATGTCAAGTTTATAATTGACAGCATCGAATCTTTTAAATGTCTGATTTTGAACGCAGCCCCTGCTGCTTCCTGGGTGGAATCGGCCCCCCTGCGGACAAACTGCGTACCTGTGACGTCAAAGAAATGTCACCGGGAGCCGGGGGAAGTGCAGCTGTTTGGCTGCGAGCATCACGCTGCGACTGCTGGGACGGCAGCTTATTTCAGGAGCCATCACTCTGTCAGCTGGAGTCGATCTAACTCTGTTTATTGTTTCTGCTGCTCCTTTCAGCGCTTTTCGGGACGTAAGGTGCCTGGGAATGACTTGGAACAAAGTGAAGCGTTTCCTGAAGGTGGGATACGTTCAAGACAAACAAAGTGTCACTCCAGGCTCCATTTAACAAAGCTACACACAGTTAAAGCTGTTGATAAAGCCCGCCAACACATCCACTCAGAAGCCTTAAATTATCCTGAGCTCACACACGCTCCACAGTGCTTCTTCCTTCAAGCTGCTCTTGCAAGAAATTCCCCTGGATCTTGGGAGGCTGCATAATGCGGGACGCAGCTGCTGCAGTGATGTCAAAGCAGAGCAGAAGCAGCCAGCAGATGAAACTCTGCTTGAGGACGTGTAGAAAGCAATAACCGTTCCAATATTGTGGCCATCTGCATTTACGATGGCAGCTGTTCCCCACCCTGGTGCTTGAACTCAGACCCAGTCGGACATCTTCTAACATTTGTGCACACATGGTGGTGGTTGCTGGTGTCGGCCCAGGACGCCATAAACACAGATCAAAAGATGGGCTTTGTAAAACATAAGTCCCAGTATCATCTTTTTGCATTCTGCACTCTAAAACACATTAATTATGACTTTATCAGACAGAATAATCTGTTCATTGTCCATTTTTGGGTCTTTTGTTAAAAGAAGGGTTTTTCATTGCTTCGCTGCTAATTTGGACATTTGGATCTTTAAATCAACTCTAAAAAAAATTAAACACGCAAACTATAAGAACTTATGAACAAATCATTTTACAGTTGTAAATAAATAAAACTCATTAAAAACGTCATTTCTGATTATGTAAATTACACAGGAACATTTAGCTGCATCACTACGATAAGAGTGTTGCTGAGGCTCGAGTGAAACCTCAGACATTTAGTCAAGCGCTCCTGACTGGTGAACTGAGATCCAAAGACCTGATTCCCAGCATTTGAGTCGCTTCACAACTTGGGTGCTGTTTCATTGCTGTTATGATGGACTTCCTGCTTGTGCTACGTTTCTATATTTCAAAATCTAATTTACCTGCAGCCTGTCACAAATTAGAACAAATAAAAGTTACATTCCACCAAATGAACGCTTCTTGTTTGCAGCTCGTCTGCTGTAACTAATGGAGCGACTCCTTTCGCTTCATCAACAGAACACTCTGCACTGGCAGATGTGGGAATATCCAAGGTTCTTTTCTGTCTGTGGGGGGCAAAAAAAAAAAAAACCTCAGCGCTCATCAATAACCCTGAATCAAACATGTGGACAATAGAGACGGATGTTCAGACGTAGCCGCCGGCAGGCGCATTGAGATGGATGAAGCAGAGCCCACTTCCTGGCAGCAATCTCCACTTTCTAAGATTGGCAGTCTGCACGCACACCCCCTACCTGTGTGATGTACTCATAATAGCATTTTAATAACGTTTCGACCACTTCATGGGTAGTTTCAGCCAGAGAGTCTGATTGGTAACAGACACCCACCAGCAGTGCTGTTATTCCCATTATGGATGTCATGCTGGGCTTTCTTGGTCATGACGCCAACCCTTGTGGTAACCAAGGAGGCAGTTATTATTCTTTTCTTGATTTCAGCGCTTGGTATTTACACAGCATACACCCAGAATGAGGCTGGCACCCGGGACAACATTAAATCACTTTGGAAGTACAATATTACCCTGGAAAAATAAACCTCTTGCCAGAGAAACGTCACCTTAGTTGATTTTATAACCTCTAATACTTAAATCAAGTTCATATCTAAGCCATATTTGTGACATATGACACTGTATGGCAATAGGTTTGTGATCATTGTGTGGTTTCAGAATAATGCAATCATTTCCTGAGTGCTGTGTGTTTTTGCAGCTGATTGTTCTTCATGTCACCAAATGAAATGATGTGGGACTGAGAAGAGCAGCCGAGGGAAGCATTCAGTGCCTCTCATCTGCTCCGTAGAGCCAGGAAATGAAAAGGGCCAATCAGATGAGACGTGTTGTCTTCGCTTCATATAATTACAGTGGAGGAAAGCGATTTGACCAGCATTGTAAAGTGAAAGGGCCAATCTCGACTGCATTAACCCAGACTGTCTGATGTAAAAGCACATCGCTCTAAATCAAACAATGCTCCACTGTGTTTTAGTTCTATTTTGTGAACGTCCCCCCCTTTTCCTGGACAAACTGAAACACTTTCAGGCAGAAAACATAGTGAAATATGTTTAATATAATGTTGACTATGGCGCTTTAGTTTCGGGGAAACAATGCAACAGTTGAAATGATGATTATATCATGTGAGTGACTATAAATGGAGGTCTTACCCAGTGTCGGATCGTACTCCCAGATAAAGCGTCTGGTCAGGAACCTCACCACCAACGCTGCAGAATCGAGAAGAAAAACTGAGTTCGACATGAAAGTGAGGCTAAAGCTGAGCAGCTGACAGTGATTTAAAAAGCGTTAGACATTTTTTCACACCAGATTTTGTGTCACGGTTGTTTTCAGCTGTACCCAACTCACCAGGAAACTGTTGGAACCAAGATACTTTAACCTAAATGCTCATACCTGTTTCATTGGCTCGACTTGATTAAAGCTGATTAAAGCCTTCAGGAGGAGACGTCAGCTCCAGGGTTCATCCAGAGTGTCTCACGGCTGAAGTGAGACGGACGTCCTCAGAGAGCCTGTGACTCACTGCCCTAATGGCTTACCATCAGCAAGTGATCCGCTGCACGGAAATGTTGAGCCCCTTCACTCCGACTGAATTAGACTGTCATTATCTGTTTATCGCTCAGGCCAAACGGCTCTGTGGGAGAAGCTGCTGGTAAAATGTGCATTTTCATCTGATCGCAACAAGGTCGGCCTTTGGTTCAGGTAATGGGTGGGAAGGTCACTGCAAGGAGCATTGAGAAAACCCTCCACCCCCCACCTCATAGAATTCAACATGGAAATGAAAATGGAAACGTGTTGCATTCTAGTAAAAGTAGGGATGTTTCTTTCTCTAGAAAGACATACATTTTGCAAATTACGCTTTCAACGTGGAAATATCAGGTCCATTCAATAATAAATAATAGATGCTAGCTTATAGCTTACCAGTACATTAAAGGGTTATTTTGGCATTTTCGAAGGAGTTTATACTATATTTATATTTGCAGTTTAAAATCATTTATGTGTCCATGCATGTTTAGATTCTTCTGCTCTGCACTGCAGTACACCGTAAAGAACAGAGACAGCCTGAAATATGGTTAGAGGTTTGAGGGAAGGAAGGAGGAGCTAGCCGCTTGGCGCAATTCATGCACACAAATTGGTTCAAATTTGTAAGAATTAAAAATTTTCTTTCTCAAAATTGAAAGCGAGGGGCTAACAGCTAGGGCTAATAATGACTAGGAAAAGAGATTAAACTAAACACGCCTCACTGTAGCTGTAAATGTGTTTGCTTTCTTTCCACCTCTGTACTTTTGTAACGATAGTTCTCCCGGAACGACAGCAGCCTGTTGTATTTTGCAGCCTGTTGTATTTTGCAGCATGCAAAGATCTATTGTAGTCTTAGAGCAAGGCTCTTCCACTCCGGTCCTGGGGGGGGCGCTGTCCTGCAGCTTTTAGACGTGTCTCCGCTTCAACACACTCAAGTCAAACAATGAGTAGCATCATCTTGAACTTCTGGTCGACGATCTCCAGAGTTTTAATCGAACTCAACTGTGGCGTAGTCCTGATGGCGTTCAGACGCTCACCCAGGAGGCTGGAGGTATCCGACCAGAAACAATCAAACTGAACAGATGACAGAGGCCACTAACAACGGTCATTGTTATCACCAATGAGGTCATCAAGGTCATGAACAGGTGTTAGAAAGATAAAACTTGAGGGTCACAAGGCTGCTTTTCCATGTTCACAAGAAATCTGCTAATCTTGCAATTCAAAAATACTTTATAGGTCCCAATGCAAACATTGTTGTAACTGATTTAATTAGAGTTCTTGTAGATGGTGATGGCTGTGGGATAGAAACCTCTCCTGTAGCTGTCTTTACTGATATGAATTTGATCAGCCCTCTGACTGAAGTTGCTCCGTTTTTCCATGGGATGGTCTGGGTGTTTCATTTTTTTCTTGATTCTTTGCACCTTCATCCCCAAAGACATTAAACCACAAGAATTGTGTATTTTTCAGAATTTGGCCGTTTTCGCATCTTAACTCCAAAACCTTGGTAGACCGCGACACCAGTAACAGGCCCAAAAGTTCAAAAGGTGGTACACAGCTAAGAAAATTTAAATGCTAATTCTCCTCCTTTATAGCAAGCTCCAGAGCTTTACAACCACAGTATATACTTGGTGGATTGGGTATGGTATATGTGACCCATAAAAATGTTTTTGTGCACAATTTTCTGCTCGCTTTAAGAGTTGGTAATGTTGAAAACCACTTCTTCTCATCTGCAACTCATTTCTACGTCAATGATCCACATGCAAGGAGCAGGATCTCACTGCAGACGGGCAGAGCTTCAGTTCCCTGTGAGAGCCGCCATGTCCTCAAGTGTTTTATGATGGACTGGGTGGTCCAAGTGAGTATCTGTGTCCTCGTGTAAACTCGACCCATTTGGAGGGGGACGATGAGAGGCAGCATTACTCCTGAAAGCTCTCTTTGAACTGTGACCAAAGATCCATCTTAGCCGGGCTTGTTTTCCAATTAGCCGCAGAAAGGACAAGGAAGAAAAATGGTTGTGTAAGTCGGAGTGTCTGTGTCACGATTCATTACGCTCCTAAAGAAGTCAAGCCTGGTGATTTGAGAGCAGGGGAGCCGGGGCCGGCCGCCAATCTGGATGTGCCAAAGCTACGAGAAAAGGCCCGTCTCATGATACAAACGGGTCCTGCACTCGGCCATGCCTTTCCTCACCTGTCTTGTTGATTCTGTTCCCCAGTAAATCTCATCTACCGTTCTCCTCCAGCTCTCCGTGCTTTCAAGCGCTAAAAGCCGAAGAGCAGCAGATCGTTTGTCAAGCTGTTCGGATGTTGTTTAGGTCTGAATTTGTGCGGCGGCGCCCTGGATTCCAGGTAGACGGAGCGATCAATGGGGTGTGAAGTCCTCTCCTCTCCTCATTAGGGGAATCTGTAGCTCCTGCTTTTCACCACCACTCGAAAACAAATGTACACGACTTGGACACATATTGAGGGAAGAAAATCCCCTACCTGTGTACATACTGCTCTAGTTCATCATAAAATACATGAAGAGAGATGAAACGAGAAAAAAAAAAAGCAATTTTATACAAATGGAATCCCGAGTGAACTAATTCTAACTTTGTTGAGGACATTGTTAGAAGTTGCTCCAGTCAGTGCCTTTGCCCAGTTTGTAGACTTGCTTGTATTTCTTCACATATATATTTCATTGCCTGACTGATGCCAGACATCTGAAAACCGTTTACAAAAGGTTACTGCTTGTCTGATTGATCTGTTTCTTAATTCGGCTTGATTTGTGTTGTATGTCAAAGTCCAGTTGTGTCTCAGGATTGAAAGCGTAGCTGTTGGATCGGAGTTGTTTTCCACGTTGACGCCAAATTCATCTGTTCCTCTGTTAGAAAAACCAACCCACACCAAGATGCTTTTTTTTTTCCAGTTCAACCATCAAATTTTCATTGGGATTTCTTTCCTACGACATTGTAATCCAGTAAAAGATCAAATTAGGGCTTCGCCAGTTGCGGTTTTCTGGCCGATCGGCAACCTTTACAAAGCCTAACCAGACAAACAAAGCCAATATCAATTTTTTTCTTTCTTCTTGACTGAAAAGTCACTAAGTATCGCAACAAGATCGCTACATTGGCAACATTGGGGTGGCTATTTTTATCCGCAAATGTCCAGAAGCGACCTGTTCTGTCGGTCAACAATAGGGCAAGAGATCATTTTCAGACTTTTGCAGAAGCAGATAAGATTGGTTTCATGTATTGATCTGATCACCGATTCAAAAAAAATCTGGGTCAATTTAGCAGTTTTCAGGCCCCGTGTGCATATTGTAGTCTGTAGAATTATATTACGCCAGAAAGTGGATAGTGTTGTGGAGATGCTATGATTTTTAATCCACTGTAACATCCACATCACATCTGGGTGAAGGTTAAAATCCCCTCAAAGTACTAATATGGAAAAAGTTGCAGTATTCAACGTGTCTAAACACTTGGTGTCATTTCTCCAGAACAAACTGTGTTGAAGAAACGTCTCCTTTGTGTTGTTGTCGTGATGCATCACGGTGTATCTGTTCAAAACAAACTCGCTGTGATTTCATGCTTCAGCTTTTCTTCCGCTGTCAGCCGCTTTCCAGCTTGTGCCGAGACTGAACCGATCATCAAACGCATCGTCCAGGGGACATGTTTTCCCCAAAACCTCCTTTATCAAAAGTGACCTAATCGCATTAGCAGCTGAGCGCTGGACTAATTGCAAACAAAGCCGGAGCAATTAGTGGCGCCTATGGTTCTGTTCTGGGCCGGTGCTGCGTTACTCATTGAACGGTCCCTATTGATTTTCTAAGGGCGTCAGACGGACACCCACAGCTCTTTGGTTCCTTCATGTAAGAAAAATGTCCTTTCAGAGACTCTCCCAGAGAGAGGCTGCCCTAGTCAGGTTCTGTACTTATTGTATTAATGTCATGTTGGGTCATGTCACACAATAAGTTGTGCTCATAAGACCCAGAGAGGACTGGATGGAGCAGAAAAATGCCAGAAAAGAATGAGAGGCAGAGGGCAGACGATTCAAAGGCAACAATTAGAAGAAAATAAATTCTAACACAAGTCAAAATGAGGACTTCTAACACTATCCTCTTCACATGATCACAGAAGTTTTAATAACAGACAAAAGTAATGTGGGTAGAAAAAAAAAAAAAGCAGTTTTCCCTTAATGATTCCAGGCATTAGAGGACAAAAACGGATCCTTGTTAAATCTCGTTACCTGTGATTCAGCTAAAGGGATTCAAGAACGGAATGATTGTGAGAAACAAAACTGTGTTTTTCACTCTTAGAATAACACAAAGGCAGTTTTTGTCTACTGCTATTGTTGGAGTTTAATGATATATTTTAGAGAAACGTTCGGAAGAGATTCTGCTGCTTTGATTTCGATGACGCTTTAGTGAAAGTATAATAAGCTGCTGCTTTTACATACACTTTTTTCCATGACTTCGGTATGGAGAAATAATAATAATAAAAAACGAAGACCAAAGAATAAATAAACATAAGCTATTCGCATTTTTGCGCTAAATCACATTCCTCTAAACGACCATCCTAAAACAAATCTCACACTTCTACAATTAGAATGTTGCCGATTGAATCAAATTGCTGGAACTTCACACAGCGTTGACAATGCCGTCACCATGACGGGGTTGGCGCTTTGGTTTGAGGTCAGCAAATTGTTGATGACCA